GAAGGACATCATCAACGGTGACAGGAAATACTGATGTCGTGGACAGCGAATCAATAGTCACTGCAATAATCATTAAATAAAACTCAAAAGTTTTAATTTATTTAAACCTGTTTTACAATCACTTTATTTAACAAAACCATTAATTGAGAGGTAAGAGTGGTTTGAGCCGACATTTGTATAACAAGTATTTGACAACATTTATACAGTTATAGATAATCCTACCGTAAACTAACCAAGGGCATTATCGGGGGCATTAATATAACCATGATACCCGTGTTGGGTTAAATTCAAAGTAAGCGCCTGTACTATAATATACCGTTAGAGGGCTGTAGTAGTGGTGCTCCAGTAGTGGCCAATCCATGCCTTGAGTACAGTTGTACTGAAATGTGCACAAAAAGCAGTCATTATAATCGTCACAAATATTTTTGTTTCAATTGTCTGTCCATTGGTTTCAACGCATTTGCCGTCAGTTTCTCCGGGCGTTTGTGTAGTCAGTATTGACCACTAATTTAGCCGTAATATTACACACACTGTCTGTCGGGGCTGTCATACACTGTACTGGTTGTAGGGCTGTATGACTACAACCTCGTTGTTTACACCAATTTAACCATCTAATCAAAACCCCGTCATAATCTGACCTACGTGTTTTTGTGCGGCCAAACCCGGATTAACCATGCTACATTTTTAAATTTTAAAAAGTATATAAAATCCCATATGTTTTATTTTATTTTAATTTTACCAGTTTTATAATATTAACAAAAATACACTGTAACGTAACTGTACATGGTGTGAAACGTTTTTATCACGTTTATTTCAAATAACGTACACATTTTGTATTGAAAAAGCGTGAGATTGGGGGCAAAGAGGGGGCAAAAGGGTTGTTGACGTAATTGATGTGAAATTATAGTGGATTTGTGTGAAGCAAATGCCATACAGTGTAGAGCAGTGAGAGAGCGCTGTAGTAGTATTGCCAGCAGTAGTGGTATACGTAGTGTATCGATACATCTCGGGCTCTACTGTACCTCCAGTACTGTATGCGCACTGTTAGGCAATAGGTGTTGAGTACAGTGCGGTCTGGCATTGATAGCAATAGAGACAGTGTTAGGTCGAGTGGCTGTCGACTGTGTTTCAAGCCATACGTATCGCAAAGTCGTCGCCATTTTTCTCGCTCTTCACAAACCATTTCGTCGTCTCATTTGGTCTCCGATTGAAACACACTTTTGATTGCATTTCATATTTTTGTTTCATTTTTGATTTATTTTATCATTTAATTAACAAATCATTTGACAAAATAAAAGACAATTTGAATTGATTTATAAATATATTGAATATATATTTGAAGGCATTTGAGAGACTCATAGACACAATACAAACCCATAATTGATTGCAAAGACAGACAATTAGTTTTGCCGTTAATTATCTGACGGGACGGACGGCTGGTGTGTGTCCGCGAAGGGGACAGTAGTCTACAGTTGTCCGCCATATCCGGGGTTTGTGTCCCACAAGTGAATCGTCTGAACCGTTGTCGGAGAGGCAGTGAGAGAGCGGTTCCCATAGACGGCAACGCGATTGCCATTCACTGCCTGTTATAATAATATACATCCATATTATGTATACATTGCGAGAGACGTGAAAACTACTGAAACAACTATTTCTCCATTCAATTCAATGGTAAGTCTATTAGAAAATATTATATATTATTTGCAAACTTATGTCTCTTTTCTCTACACTTTTCTAATGTTTTTTACATTACTTTTTATTAATAGTTTGTAATTATTTTTTCGCACTTTTTATGCAATTTTTGTGATTAATTTTTTGGTCAACTTTTTCGCCGACTTTTCTCTTACTTTTTTCTTAAGAAAATTTTTAAAAGTTTTATTAAAATATTTTTTTTTCATTTCAGGCGCCGATAGATCCGAATCAGTTATTGCAGGCCTTCGCGCCCCTCTTGACCCCCAGTGGGGGCATCAAGAATGCCAATGAAGTGCCCCGACTGTCGAGGTTTGTGTCCGTTAGACACTGTTTTTACGCTCAAGTTTTGTCACTTAATTAACTTTTTTGTCATTTATTTCTTCCCAATAGTCTAATGAAGAAGTTTTCCCGAAAGTTGGTCTCCCGTTGCGTGTATTGTAACGTATTGTTGGCCACCACTCCGGATGTGCTCGAAGAGTGAGATTATAATAGTTTTTATTGCTTTTATAATTGAATTAATTTATTAATTATTGAAATTAATTTTTTTCGGTAGATTTTTAAGGTCTGGCGGATGGGAGACAATCCACTTATGGATCAAATCGGCCAAAGAGTTGGGAAACAAACCGTTTTTAGACGAGTTGTTAACATTACTACTAAAGCTTCCGATGAATGTCGAGAGACTCCGAGAGAACGATTCGCCCAAAATAATACGAAAAATAGCCAAACAATCGGATGACCCGATACTGGCGGCCAAAGCCAAGGAAGTGGTGGACAAGTGGACCAAAATGATTGAATTGGCCTCAGGTCTCAAGGAGAAGACTAAGCGTAAGAGCAACGAATCGGCGAACAATGTCTCAAAAGATGCCACCATTGGTGGCCAAAGTGATCCCAAGAAGTCTAAACTGACCGCCAAATCACTGAACAACGCCATTGACTACAATAGCGCCGACAGTAATAGTTCGGCGCCTTTGGACGCGTTGGCGGCCGACGGCTTGAAGTTGAAAGCGGAGCGAACGCCGCGTCCGTCTACGGCCAAAGTAAAGCCCGGAAAGTCACGACTCGGCGACTTAGTCAGCGGCGGTCAGACGGGTCCTAAACTCGCCAAAAGCCGCAAAGAGTCCGATAAAAAGTCTTCGACGGCCAGCAATAAGGTCTCCAATAATGCAAACCCCGAACCCCTAAACAGTGCGATCACTCCCGCTGTCAATCTCCCCAAACCGAAGGCACTGCCCGTCGGAGGCATTAAACTGATTGAGCCGTTGAGTGTTGCCGTCCCGCCAACCCCTCCAGTGCCCGCCCCAGTGGTCGCACCACCGCCTAAACCGCATGTGCTTCAGGTATGGCTTTAAATGGGTTTGTTTTTTTCAACCAATTGATTAATATGTGGTTTTGTTTTGTAATTAAAGGACTCAATGAGTTTTATGGACGCATTGATTGCGCCGACCGTTTCGACGACGAAGAAGAAGCCGCGACGGACCAGCTCTTCGACGGCCGGCAAAGAGATGCCAAAAGAGCCGAGTATTATAGACACGACGACAGCCTCGGCGTCCACTACTAGTCCAAAGGCATCGCCGCCCAAACCCTTCTCCTTCTATATGGATATAATCGACGAAAAGGTTGACAACAAAGTCAATGAATCCAACAATAATAGCAGCGAAGACAACGACCCGATGGACGACGAGTACAAGAGTGACGAACAAAACGATAGCGTCGACGACAACGAAGAGGAGATGAATCACATGAGTGTCGACATAACAGTTCCTGACATTAAAGTGGACACAACGCTCACATTCAACGCATCCCTGTCTGTGATCT